CCTCCCCCGTTCATGCTCTTTCTCTGTCTCAAAAATAAAAAAATAAAAAAAAACATTAAAAAAAATTTTAATGGCTCCATGAATTAGTTATGTTCTTCTGCGGGGAAGGTAGACTTAGTCTGCCCACATTCTGTCTTGCATATGGGCCTTTTCTAAAAAACCTATGAAAAACATAGGTTTTGGAACAGGTGCAAGACAGAATGTGGGTGACTGGTCTACCTTCCCGCAGAAGAACATAACTATTCATGGAGCCATTAAAATTTTTTTTTAATGTTTTTTTATTTATTTTGAGACATAGTAAAGAACCTAGGGGAGTCTCACTGTCTTATCTCAGCCTGAGGTTGTCACAGAGCTCATGCTATCAAGATAAAAAATCTGGGGGAACAGGGGAGCGAGACGGCAAGGAGAAGGTGTAGGACTCTACCTCTGGGCCAAGACATTTCAACAAAAGATTCCCAATGACTTGACAACAGACGATAAGCAGAGTGGTGCTCCAACAGATGGCAATACAGATGCAAACCATGTAGGTAATCGAGAATTTTCTAATAGCTCCATTTGAAAAAACAAAGTGCCTGGGTGGCGAGTCGGTTGTTGCCCCGACTTCAGCCAGGTCACCCCCGCAGTTCAGCCCCGCTGTCGGGCTCTGGCTGATGGGTTCAGAGCCTGGAGCCTGCTTCAGATTCTGTGTGTCCCTCTCTCTGCCCCCTCCAGCCATGCTCTGTCTCTGGTCCCAAAATAAAAAAATAAAACGCTGAAAAAAAAAATGAAAAAAGTTAAAAGAAATAGACATATTTCACACATTTATCTAATTACAGTAAATTGTGTTATCATTTCAACATAAAAATTACATAAAAATGATCTTGGGAGACAATTTTGTGTTTTTTTTTTTCTTTTTTGGCTTGTCCTTGTTGATCTCATATGTACATTACCATTACAGTAATATTTCAATCCATAGCTGGCCACATTCCAAGTGCTCAAGAGTCCCATGGCAAACTGCACTGGACAGCATCAGGTTAGAGAGTTTAGGCACAGACTAGTAGCTAACCAGCCATGAAGGGATGGTCCCACT